AGGAAGTGAAGAATTGAAATGCCTTACAATATACTTTTTTAGTAAAAGAAAGCCCAGACTGTCGTTGTTCAGCTCATACCAAGGCATATCAATTTGGTTTTGTTTGCTAGCCTTTAAAAGAAAAGAAAAAAAAAAAAAAAAAAAGGAAAAAATCCATTAAATACCCACTTGAGCAACTTGAAAATGTGCTAGTGTAAAATTCATTACCTGAGTCTCATGTTAGGGCTGTTGTTATTAGTCACACAATTGGTTGCCTCTGGCACCTATTGAGGAAATAGACGGACTTTACATTTTGCCCTGTTGTGACTTTATGAATTGAGACATTCTAACACAAAAAGGTAAAATACTCGACTCAAAAGAATTCTAATGAGAATTTCCTACTTCTAGTCTGAGGCTTGACAAAGGAAAATAAGAAATCCCTTCCAAAGTCTTAATTTATTGTTAATCTGTTGAGTTTATTTTAATTATACATTTAAACTTGTGGTTAATAATTATTGGGCAAAATATAACAAAGGCAAGCCCAGTGTGAAAGATCAGGAGCTAAAGAATTGCTTTCTGTTGTCTTTTCTTTTTCTTCTTAAAGATTCTTTCAGGTCACCCCTGCTATAAGGGGACCATCCTTATTCATGGCATGGGAAGAGGAGTAACGATTTTTCACTAGTCATTATTAATTATTTTTCAGTAGTAATTTTTTTTCAAGAGTTCATCTTGCCTTGCTCTTAAAATAAAAACTACTTGTTAGCTTGGGCTTTTTGATCTGAAACCCAGAGAAATTTTGTCTCTTTATATAGGAAATTACCTGGCACTGGAATTTTACTGCTCTGCACCATATTTGTTTAACCTTTGTACCTGCTTCTGAAAGAGGGAGAAAATGGCTGACAAATGTGTAAGACTCAGTTTCTTAAAACCTTCAAGTAGAACAACCAGCTGTTGTTGTTAAACAGAAAACTGATGGTACCCTCTGTGAACAAATGTAAGAAAGGCTAAATAGAATGGCAGCCTACTACTTCATTTACAAAGCTTTTAGGTGAAAATCTAGACATTTCTGGTTTTGTGGTAGCTTCACCAGGTCTTAAATCCAGCCACTTCCAAACGTGAAGACAGTGCCTCTCTTTTGAACCATGAGATGTCATTCAATGGGAGCTTCTACTATTAATTAAAACCTAATTATTGGCTGATTGCTTCTACAAAAGGCAGTTTTAATTTTATGCTTAATGTTGTAGAGTGAAATTGTTATTGGTTTTAAAACTGGTTTTACTAAATTGTTAGAAAATAAGTAGGTTTGTCTCAATTATTTATTCATGGTAATACATATTTCCCTTATTTTGAGCGACAAGTTTTTCTATGTTCTTTGTCATCTATTTTAAAATACACCTGATATATTGAAAACCTTTGTAAGATTATTGTTTCTCAGTGAAGTGGTGTAGTGTAGGTTACTTTCAGGGTTAATTCCCTGCACAGATCAATAATACAATGCAGAAATAGTGTTAATACAGAAGCTGAAAAGCTGGCCCAGTGCTTTCAGCAACTAATACTTTGCTTGGTAGTGGAAATCTTTCTCTTTGCACATTTCAAAGATTGACTTGTCTTGGCTTTTAATTTCTAAGGGCATAAGATGACATAAATGATTTCATAATTTTCCCCATACATGAAGCACTGTTCTATGTCAAATTTCTAGTCCTGCATGTGCAGTGTAACACCAACAGTAAAATAACAGTAATAATAAAAAAGCCTTTCTTATTTATGCTTTATTTTATTTTAGAAGATGGCAGAGAAAACAAAGAAGAAATTTTTACTTGCATTTCTATTTCCAAAATGCTTCAAAGAAGCATAAAACAAAGACTTTAGAATACAGTTTTCTTTATTTTCATAGTAAATCATATTCACAGAGTAGGCTTTGTTTGTTGGTTTTCTGCTTCCCCCCCCCTTAGTCTTGTAATCACTATGTTTACTATGGCAAAGTAAGTACTTTGATCTATTCGTTTCCTTTACGTGTTTTCTGGGACAGAAGTATAGGAATGGCCAGTCAACCAGAAGAAATCATCATACTGAAAAGAACAACATGATTTAATTGTTGTCAGTTCATGGGCATTAAAATTCAGTTACATTGTGAAACACAAGATAATGATAGAGAATATTAATTGACTGTATTGGTAGAATATATTCTCACAGTCAGAAAATGGCACATACTTTTATCCAGTTCTAAAGCTGTTTTAAGTTTTCATCCAAGCACCTAGCTAGCTTAGTCAAAAATAAGAGAACATTCTGACATTTGATATTATAAAATGAAAGGGAGTCAGTAGCTGTAAGAATAAATATAATTCGTGTCTTTTTGTCTATTTGTGCTCAGTTCTCAGGTAATCATACACTTTATGTTTTGCTTTTTTCTTTTTTATCTGCTTACATTAGAACTATTTTTTCACACAAACATATTTTTGTCACATTATCCAATTATCTGTATCTGTTACAATCATACATAATGTTGCATATCAATATACAGATCTAAATCTAGCCTGATCCCAAGGTAGACTACTGATCTTTTTGTAAGTAACACGATGAATGCAAATTCTCATATGTGACTCCACTACATGAACATATGATTTTTAGCAAGCAGTATCTTCAATGCAAACTTACAGGCATAACTGAACTGATCAATTTGGACATCTGTGATTGTACACCAGCTCAGCAGCAATCTGGAGACCCAACTCCTTTGTTGCCTTGTAGCCTCTTTGTGCTGCCAAGCTGGGAGCTCAGGGGCTGTCCCCGTAGCTGAGGGCTCACCTGGGTGGTGCAGAGCCTGCTCAGTCACCAGCCCAGGGTAAGGGTGATGCACAAAGGAGGGGGTGGGTTGGGGGAATGCTACACCTGGGCTGTCACAGTGGCAGCCCAGAGTATGGACACAGAAGGCATAAGCAAGTGCAAGCCTGAGATTGCTGTGATTTAGGACCTGATCAGCCATCTCCAGAGCTTTGCAAAGTTGGTGAAAGGCCGAATTCACCTTTCCCGCAGTGCCTTTGGTCTAGCAGTGAGGGCACTTGAGCCAGCCCTACGAGTGGGTTGGATGTGTATATTTTTTTTTTATGCAGGCAAAATATCATCCCCAGTCCTGCAAAAAAACCAAAAGATGTGTCTGGGTGGAACCCTGTGAAGGGTTTCCCTGGAGAGGTAAAACATTAACATAAAATTTCATGAGTCTCTTCACTTCTGTGCAATAGGAAAACCATGCAGCCTCCTCCAAGATCCAGCAGATCTCTGGGGAGGATAGAGCCTAGAACCAGCTCTGGATCCAGCTGGAATAACAACTGGAATATTCCCTATATATTTTCCCATTCCATAACCTGCCTGTCCAAGCTTCAGAAGAGACAATGAAATAGCCTGAACCTTTTTTCCATGTTTCTGAAGGCTCGATGGGAGACTAAATGTATTCCTTTTGGTCGTGGTTCAGTCTTGCATACCCCATTCCTTTTCCTCTATGCATATTTTCAATTTCTCTTTCCATTTCCATTTTTTTTTTTCTCCAGGGGGTTCAGAAAAAGTTCTGAATGCCCTGAGAAAATGTGTGAAATGAACACTGATTTAAAAAATTGCTGTTTGGTAAAGATTACATGGGGTTTGGGGGTTTGCCCTGTAATAGGTCTCTATTTATAGCTAAGTGATAGAGTTTCATGAAAATCCAAATCCTAGTGGATTAAGAAAAAGAGGAGTGGGGTTTTGGCACCAAGATTGCTTCAAGTGTACAATATAAGCAAATATCCGTACTGGATGCCAATATCCTCAGAAAGATGGAAATTTTCCTCTGAGCTTGATGGGAATGAACTCCAACAAAATCCCCTTACACTACTGTATCTTTCAATTACAATCCTACCATGTATTGTTCCTGGTTTATTAACAGAGTTTTAAAACAGGACCACAACCGCTCCAAGAAAGAGATTTATTTACTCATGTCCATGGGAAAATCACTTACACCAAACCATTCATGAAAGCTCAACAGTTGTCTCCTACTTGGATAAATATGACTAAATCTCATTGAGCTATGGAAACAGTGGGAAGCTATAAAACTTTGCAAAATACAAATATTGGTCCTCTGAAATCTTTGTAGTCAGCAAGCACAGAATAGGAAAAAGAGTTCTCCATTCTTAAGTGGTAGAATCAATACTGGACAGAGAACATCAAAACAGCCTAAAAGATTACTCAAGACCAAGATATTTTTAATCAGTGGCCTCTTTGTTTTTTGGGTATCCAGCTTGAGACACCATACGTGGAGTGAATTTTCAGAAAGCCTTGAGCACCCACTCTCTGAAAAACTGGTTGCATTAAGGTATCTGAAGATCAGCACCAAGAATTGCTGCATCCAAAATCAGTTTGTATCAGAAATCCAGATTCCCTCACATTGGTATTTAGGGAGGACCTAGTGCTTTAGGCAAGCACTGAAAATCCTAGGCACCATGCACAGTGCGTGTTTATCTCTGACACTGGCAGATAGAGGTAAACATCTTCCACCTAGACTGCTGCAGAGAAAATAAGTATTTCAATAGGTTTTTTTGCTATATTTTTTTTCCTGTTGACTCCATAGAGGATTAGCTAAATAATTCAGGGCTAGTGATACTATTTTTTCATTGATAGTTTAAAAAGCAGGTATACTTTTTAGATACAAATAAGATGTAAGGAAATGAAGTGAGGTTTGTTTTTTTCTTTTTCTTCTAAACCTTAATAGCTGGTTTCAGATTTTATTTAATAATCTTATTCTAAGACCTCATAATTTTAATGGTTTTTTCCTAATTTTATTTCTTATGATGTATAAATAGGTGAGAATATAGAATATTATAATGTTATTTTGTTAAGACAATAACATTTCAAAGGTTAATGTAAAATCAAGCTGCTAAAGTTTACATTTTCTCTGTCCAGCAGTTATTTTATACAACTGCCCTGAGTAGATGCTATATGCTGCTTAGCAAATGGCCTTTAAGAATCAAAAATAACTCAGTAAAGCTACTCAAAGGTAATGCAACACTTTGGCATCTTTAATAAGAGCTAAGACAAAAACCAGGTTTTCTCAACAGTTAATTATTTACCCCCTCATTATCGATTTATACACAACAAAACCACAATAAAAAGGTTCAGGACAACTAATTGCGCTTGTTCCTATGTAGAAGTTTAATTTTCAGGAAGGCAAGTTTTTAGATTTTAGAACTAGTCCTATTTTTTTGGACTGGTCTATCTCCTTTTATTAAATTCTGTGTTATTCCCATGCAAAACCAGTGAAAAAAAGTTATTTTCTAACCTACGTTATTGTGAGGGTTTTTGCAAAACCTCACTTATCCCCTTTAACAAAAAAGATCATCTTATTTCAAAATTCATGTTAGAATTAATTTGCAATGTTTCTCAAACTGGTACAAATGTGTAAAATCTGTGCTTTTAAAAGGTTCTGATTTGAGTAGCCTTATTCCATAATTGTGCCCTAGCAATCACCAAGCTCTATTGCATGCCCCATTCATGAAAAGTGTACTTTGTTGGGATGATGCAGCTGAAAGAATCTGGCTCTAAAATTTCCTTACCTAGAGCTTCCATTAAATTATATTAATTTAAAATATCTATGGAATGGTACTTTTACAAAAATACTAAAAAAACCCCAAATAAAGCAAAAATTAATGGGTTTGGTTTATGAAAAAACTCCTATAGTAAGCAAAAAAGTTTTATCACAGTTTTGGTAACTTGCATGAGTTCATATCGAAAAGAAATTTTTCACATGTTCTTAATGAATGTAAGACTTTCGTGCTCTAGGTATTTTCAGTTGTATGCTCTGAAGCAGTAGACACCATAGAGCTTGTGCTTTTTATCAGGGAAGCCTACAAATCGAACTGCTGCTTCGTTAGGACTGCAGCGTTTCCTTGGCCTGGAGATTGGGTAACGGACGCTGCCATCAGCCAGCCAGCCAGCATCGCAACGGTCATAACCCAAGAGCTTCCAGGCAGCAAAGATCTGGCCAACTTTGGCAATCTGAGCTCCATCCTTCAAACACGCCTGAACTGCTTCGTCATAGGTCAGCTTGGTTGGGTGAATTAGGTAGTAAAAACGACCTAGTAAGGGAAAGAAGAAAAAAGGATCATTAGGAATATGATCATGGATTGGATCATAGAATCATGGAATGGTTTGGTGGGAAGGGTTGGAAGAGACTTTATAGATCATCCAGTTCCAGCACCCTGCCACAGGCAGGGACACCTTCCACTAGACCAGGTTGCTCCAAGCCCCGTCCAACCTGCCTTTGAGCACTGCCAGGGATGGGGCAGCCACAGCTTCTCTGGGCAACCTGTGTCAGGGCCTCACCACCCTCACAGCAAAGAATTCCTATATTCTTAATTAAGATGATGTGACAATATCACAATGGCTTTTGAGGAGAAATTGAGATGTTCTACTGCAGAATCATATCAAACAGTGGTTCATTTGTGACTGTGCAATGTGGATGCTGCACTGTTAAAAATATCTTAATTTTTTTTATGGTGTGTTCATAAATATCAGGCATCTAAAAAAAAGTGTGGTGTAGAGATCACAGACTATTTGTACATAACAGTAGTGCTATATTTACTTATGCTGGTGTAGCACAGTGTGGCATCCCCACCCTCAGTTACATTCAATGGTAACTGAACTGTTGTAATGCGCTTTCATCCTCAGAGGTAGAAAATCAGGAAGAAAAAGACTGGGAGAGAGGGATGATGGAAGACACCTTGGGATTTGGAGGACGGTCCCTGCTCTGCCTCTAACACTATAGTGCAAGAGGCTTTTACCAACATGATACCAATGACAATCCAGTGAAACAACTGAGGAACACCGCAGATTTCAGCCAGAGAAGATCTCATAAAGCTGTAGCTTACTGTCAGAAAAGGGAAATCAGTCATACATCCAAAGCAGTGCACTTCTACATGGTGCTCCCAGTATTAGCTGAAGACCCTTACAGGTTTTCCTCTCAGAAGCATGGCATAGCAAGATCTGGGCTTGATAGTATTTGGATGAGGGGAGGCTGAAGATTTACTCTCTGTCAAGGCAGTGGGTGACCTTGTTTCTCGTTAAGTACAAGCAGCAATTTCATTTACTTATTTGTTTATCTTTAAGAAAGCTGAGATATTGCACAGCTCCTTGGAAGCAGAGCTTGAGCCTGTGGTAGATCAAAACCATGCCTGTCATTAAATCTTCATTAGCAGTGTCAAAAGCACGGGCAGCAGCTGTGCAGCTCTGTTTCTCTTTAGGCATCAAAGGGTATATATATCCTCACTGTAAGACAGCACTGAACTGACAGTGCTGCTAAGAAAAATGTGCCCCCCATCTCAAGGTAATAGAAACATACGGCAGCAAGTAAAGCTCAAAAAGAAAGTCTCCCCTACTAATCCATAAGCAGCACTACTACTAACGTTAATTTAATTTATCAAGGAAATATGAAGTCATTGTAAGCCTTTCATTCATTATCACCACTGATCTGACAATTAACCAAGTGTGAAGTAGAAATGGATCAGAAAGGAACAGTGCTTATTTGAAGAAATAATAATTTCCAAATAAATTCATAACTTTTCAATCTGTCTCATAAGAGACAAGTTAGCTAAAAAAAACATATGAGCTTATTTATGTGGGAATCTTCTCATTCCAGAGCACACTCTTTACTTCTTAATTAAGAAAGTAGTCCAGAATAATATCCCTTTTCTTCCTCATAAAATCCAGGCAAACATACAAACACAATTCTGCTCATTTTCAGATTACTTTCTTGGTGAAGAAAAAGTGACGAGCAAGATGAAGAGTTAGGTCAGCTCCAAAACCCTGCAAAGCCCACTTTTTGCTAAGCAAAGAAATGCCAATTCAGATTACAATGTAAAGATAATTGAATTAACTTTGTGTAAAGGTTGGAAATGTATACCATGATATGAATATTAAAGGGAAAAAAAAAAGGCATTGCAGCTGTGGTGAAGTGGTTAAAATATTTCATTGCTGTCAGAGACAATTTCTACAGTGTTTCCACAGAAAAACTGTTGAGAGGAGATAATCTTGCCTTTTGTAAAATGCTTGCTTAACTCAATTTAAGTAACTTGAAAGCATTTACAGGATGTTGCTAAAGAGAAGTTTATAAAGAGGAAACCTGTTCCTACTATGTTATTCAGAGGCTCCCCCAAAGCAAACAGGATTTTAGACTTAAGGGAACAGGGATTTGGACTGATAGTGTGTAAACTTCATCTAGCTTATTAGTTGCTCTCCAAACCATATGTCAATTTAATGTAATTTCCTAGGGATTTGCAGTAAGGTCAGGCTTCTGACATACGACATCAATAATATAAACTCTTATATACTGCCTTTTACTCAGAGAGGGGAACTTTAATAGTAAGCCCCACAGAGATTCAATGTGTATCCAGAATGTCTGATTAAATAAAATTCTATTAATAATGTTGGTACAGATTTGCTGATTTTTCCCTGTTAATAGGTTAGAGGGGTTTCTAACTTCAATTTTAATTTAGTGGACAGAGACATTAATTGTGTCTCTCTCATTAACATCCTATAGTCGGGTCAGTCCTACAGAGGATAAGCGTGCTTGGTTTGACTTCTCACATACAAATCATGGGGCAGAAAGTTTATGCAGGCCTAATCAAACCCCAGCTATAATAACTATTTTAAGTTTTGCATGTAACAGAACAGCTTAAACAGGAAAACCTGAGCACTTTAATACATTATATCACTGTGACTGCGATATAAATACTTTATATCACTGTGACTGTGGATGTTTGAGTGCTGGACCACCCTCGGAGATTTTTCCAAGCTCAGCTCTAAATTGAGACATTCTTTAGTAAGCTTTTATATTGCAGCTGGGTGTGCTAGGCAGTGGTCATCCTCTTTGGAGGCACAGAAAGTCAGTATCACCCCACTTGCTATTTCCTGTGTTAAGTGCTAGTGCAGTGCCTTAGGAAGACGGACCTTGGTGAAGTTCTCAGGAAGGATGCCTCCACTTGCAGTCAGCCATGGAGTACCTAAGCCCTAACACTACTCCCAGTGGCTTATGTTTTGCTGGGGCAACCTCTTGCCCAGATTCATGGCTTTGGTGCTGTGCAGGGGCAGCACATGCAGGAGAAATGTCAAGTGTGGGAATGACTTCTGCAGATCTGTGCTGAAAATGGCCACAGAAACCAGTTAAGTTGTTCTACTGTGCTCTAATTTGTGATTTCATATGGCCATAAGAGACATTCTCAGCAGCCAGCAGTGTATATCTGTGGCTTCTACAACATGTATACCCTACTGTCTGCTGTTCAGTATCTCACATCCTGCTCAAGCAAGTCCAGAGGAGGCCACAGAGATGCTGCTCTCCTGGAGCAGCTCTGCTCTTCAGACAGGCTGAGAGAGCTGGGCTGGTTCAGCCTGGGGAAGAGAAGGCTCCTTAAGGGAGACCTGAGAGCAGCTGCCAGTGCCTAAAGGGGCTACAAGAAACCTGGAGAGAGGCTTTTGGCAAGAGCCTGTAGGGACAGGACAAGGGGAATGGCTTTAACCTGACAGAGGGGAGACTGAGATGAGATCTTAGGCAGAAGTTCTTCCCTGTGAGGGTGTTGAGGCCTTGGCACAGGGTGCCCAGAGAAGCTGTGGCTGCCCCATCCCTGACAGTGTTCAAGGCCAGGTTGCATGGGGCTTGGGCTAGTGGAAAGTGTGCTTGCCTGTGGGAGGGCATTGGAACTGGATGAGCTTTAATGTCCCTTCCAACACAAACCATTTGAGGATTCTATGAGTACTAAAAGGTTGAGCAAGCCCATTGCTTCTCAAAATTGAAGAACATGTTAAAAATTTGTGCAAAGTGAGGTGTTTTCTGTTCATTTCATCATAGGGTCTTGATAAGCATTTTCATATCCAGTGATCACCTCAGATAAACAGATCTTGGATTGCTACATTAAATATGTGAGAATTTTTTTTTTAATCCTTTTCCACATGCCCCCCCCTCTCCCCCCCCACCTGGTATCAGCAGTGATTCCAGTGGCTCACAAGCAATCACTTCTAAGAAAATGTTAATAGAATCCCAGACTGGTTTGGGTTGGAAGGAACCTTAAAGCTCATCCAGTTCCAACCGCTTGCCGCAGGCAGGGACACCTTCCACTAGACCAGGTTGCTCCAAGCCCCGTCCAACCTGCCCTTGAACACTGCCAGGGATGGGGCAGCCACAGCTTCTCTGGGCAACCTGTGCCAGGGCCTCACCACCCTCACAGGGAAGAACTTCTGCCTAAGATCTCATCTCAGTCTCCCCTCTGTCAGGTTAAAGCCATTCCAGCTTGTCCTGTCCCTACAGGCCCTTTGGGTACCTTTATTTCTCTTTTTGGAACAATGGCTACACATTCCCACTGATTCTCAGAATTTTATTCTGAAATGTTCAAATAAGCAGCCAACATGCATTACAGATGACCTAGATCCTTCTCCCATTTAAGTGGCTTGTGGTAGTTAACTTCCCACACACATTACTGTAACAAGCAGGTGGTTCACAGCTGCATTTTTAACATGATTCTTAAAATTTATTTTTTTATTTTTAACTTTGTTAACATGAGATTTTTACTTGATTCTGCTAGAGCTGACAATAAAACAGTTATGTGCTGTGGTTCTATGTGCAATGTATAGAACAAAATGCATGTTAATGAGCAGAAAGTGTGATACAACTTCTATTTATATTTTTTTCTTTGAAAATCTTTAATTATAGAGAAGCTGATAGATATGTTTATATTTAGCTGTCTTAACACTTTTCAGTGCACTTAACACTTTTTCAGGCTTTTCCTTACAGAATCTCGCTGTTCTCCTTCACAAGACCTTTGAAATTAAGCAAAGAATAAACACTCAGCTCTACTATTGTATATTCTTTGTGCTATGCCTTGTGGCTCTGTGGGCAGACTTCAGTGAAAAGATTCATCTGCATTTATTCCCCTAAATTGTAGAAGCCCAAATTGACTTTCTAGAGGGACTGTATGGAAGGGGAGCATCCTCATTCCTTGGGACAGGGCAGGAAGAGAAATTGGGGTGGTCTGCAGCCCTTAAAGAAGCTGTGGATCATGTCAGGTTGTCCCACCATACAGGGCAGGGAACAGACATTGGGAAAATTTCCAAATTTAAATTAGATACTTCCCACTTTGGTATATTCATTTTCAATAGCCTTTATCAATATGAGGAATGTAAAAGCAAGATGGTGCCAACCAATAGTTATCTCTACAAAGAAAAAATGCGTTATTTCAAATATTTTGATGGTTTAATGGATAGCATTATGCTACTGTTACTCTTTGCATTGTTTTATGAAATGCATCACAGTATATTCTAATAAACCAGTACTACTATATACAAAATGTAGGAAACATACTTTTCGCTTTGCCTGTACAGACACAAAACATGAACAGTTCTTCTATGGAACACGAGAAAGAGTTGAATATGAAGCAGTAAAATAGGCAAAACCAAACTGTTCAAGTCTAAGAAAAGCCACTGCAGAGGGTAATTTTATAAAGTACTAAGATTATTTTACATTGAATTGCAGACAAACTTTGCTAAAACAATTGTCTTATTTCACGTAGCAGGAAGGCATATTGAATTATTCATTAAAGGTATAACCCCCCCTTTTTAACCAGTATGGTTTTTTGTGTATTCAGCTTATCACAGGTGGGATCCAGCAGTTCCAGAATAAAGACACTGAACCTGGATTTGAACTCAATGGATTGATGACTACATTTTCATTTTTCACCTTAATTGCTCAATGTAATTTTCCTGTTTTGTAGCTTTCGTCTTCAAGAAAAAAAACCAAAAACACCCAAACAGTGTTGTGTGGAAATTAGGAATTTAGGTAAATACTTTTTGCTTTGACTGCTGAACTCTTTAAAATTAAGTTCTATTTTTTGTTATAATCCCTGATATTGTAATGGATCTGGGAAATTTATTTCCCTAAAAAGCACCCAGTTAGCAGAAATCTAAACCTCATTATCCTCTGTCTTTATAGCGACTCCCACAGCTGACTCTCTTTGAGAATATTTTTGGGTTTTTTTGAGCTTGCCTTCTATTGGGGCCCTTAGCATTTTCCCAGCTCTCTTATATAAAGCTGAAGGCTTCTCTGTTTCACACTGTTAGGAGACTCCAGCAGTCACTGCCATCACTGGAAATGCATGGTGTTCTAACCACTTCTCATTTTCCTTGGCTCTTCCTGAACTGACAGAATCAATATTGGGTGTTGCAGAAATAGGTCTTTGCCTGTAGCTGCTGTCTTTGGCAATTGCAGCCCTGTGGCAAAACAGGCTGTTATAAGCTTTTCCCTTTACTGAGAAAGTTAACATATGCTGTTAAGCATACATGAGCTATTTGAACTGTTGAGCTGAAAATAGGTAATTGGTATTTTGGAAGAGTGACTGCGTTTACTGTGGACATTAAGGTAAGCTTGGGACATGAAAAGCGGGGAACATAGCAGGGACATGTGGTAGATCTCACCTTCGTGAGTTTCTGGTTAAGGAAATGGATGCTGAGTGAAGCAGAAGCCCAGATTTTGTGCTGACACCTTGAGAGAACACTGAGCTGTAAGGAGCTAGACAAGATGGTGCTTAGCTCTATATATCATCCTACTGTTGTGTAGTTTTCTGTCTTACAGGTCCATTTAACAGACTCACCAAGGATGGCATTAATTTTTGTGCCCTGTCTTTGATTTCTCTACTGCCTGTAACCTTATCCTCACCCTACCTCATTCCTCTTTCTCCTTCTGTCCATGTCTTTATCAATGCACAGACAATATTTACCTGTCAGAACGTCTCTATTTTTTTTTTTTCTCAGAATTTTTTATTCTCTTTCACTAAGAGATACTGAGGAACTGTCCAGCTGCTAGTGTGGAAAAGGGTGCCCATTAATGAGCAATAGTCAAAAACATTGACTCTGCAAATATTATAAAGAGTGCACCTAGCACATTTTAATTCTTTTTCCTTCTTTATTTTATTTCTCAACACTATTTCTATAGTACAGACTAAATCTGCATATAAGAGATGAGCTCATATAGCATTTTGCCTTGGATAAATCAGGCAAGAAAAACATGAGCCAGCATTTCATGGAATAATGCAGCATGATGAAAATAGCTACATTTTTGTTTCTGACTGCATCCAACCTAATTTAATATTCTTGGTTTCAGAATATTGGGGGGGGGGGGGCGCGCAAGGTTTGAGAATGTGGAGTAGACTTAGCACTGAAGCATATCTGTCTTCCAAAGAAGGGCAGTGGAGCTGGTGAAGGGCCTGGAGCACAAGTGTGACGAGGAATGAGCTGAGGGAACTGGGGTGTTTAGTCTGGACAAGAGAAGGCTCAGGGGGGACCTTATTGCTCTCTAAAACTACCTGAAAGGAGGATGGAGCCAGGAGGTGAGGTTGCTCTCTTTGTCCAAGTAACAAGTGGTAGGACAAGAAGAAAAGGCCTCAAGTTGAGCTACGGGAGGTTTAGGTTGGATATTAAAAAAAGGGTTGTCAAGCATTGGAACAGGCTGCCCAGGCCAGGGGTGATGTCACTGTCCCTGGAGGTATTTAAAAGACGTTTAGATGTGGTGCTTAGGGCCATGGTTTAGTGGTGGACTTGCCAGTACTGGGTTCACTGCAGGACTTAATGATCTTAAAGGTCTTTTCCAACCTAAACAATTCTATGATTCTGAGAGCAAGACTTATGTTTATTTTTTTGGTGTGCTGCAGGACAAAAATGCCTCATTGTGGATAAGCAATCTGTGCATAAACAAAAAAGTGCATGCTCTTTGGTCTGGGTGGGCTGCAAGCCAAATATGTGCAAAGTTGTGTAGGAATATCCACAAGTATGGTGTTGTAGAGGATTGTAGAGCTCTTTTGCACATGTTTACTTGCAGCGTTCCTCTCATTCACAGCAATGTTTTCCAAATCCTCTCCAGCCACTAGATTAAACCTGAAATGATAGCAAGCTGATATCAAGTAATTTCATACCTAAAGTAACATCTATTAATAACAAAAAACCTTGCAGTCACTAAAATAAAGTTTAGAACAGACCAAGCTTAGAGCAAAAGTGAACATGTTTTAGCAGTGTACTAAGATTAGGGATCTAAATTATCAGGCATAAAAGCTAGAAATAGTTTGCTGATAAGGAAGTATTAATCACATTAGACGTGGTACTTGAGCAGGAGCTGCTTAACACAACAGCACAAAGTGGTGATCAGAATTTTGTGTTGGTAACAAAGTTGAGTTGTAAACTGTCATAATTATAATTGATGTCAACAGGAAAGCTCAATTAATGAATCACAGGTTTCTTCACTTTAACAGAAATAAACAGGGCATATATCAACACTAAAAGAGTACACATAAATTTTAATGGGGTGATGGCAGAGATATTAGAAACTCCTGCCAATACAAGTTCTGAGTTGTAAAAACCACCTACATGAACATGTGTCAAAGACAACTTTACTTTGTGGAAGAGCCCTTGTAAATTCAACAATAAAATTTTCCAAGCCTAACATAAGCTTTGACAAACCAAATATGTCTTTGCTGCCATGGGAGTTTCTTTCCTAAGCACAGAAAGTTTCTTTCCTAAGCACAGAAACAGTCGTTTACAAGTTAGGAGTGAAGAAGACTCTTACCATTGAAGTTTGAAGTAAAACAGAAGACGTCATATCGGCTTTTATCTTTATCCCAGAACCCGTAATTCCTGACCCCAGGCACTGTGTTCTTCCCTCCGCAGGGCTCCCTGGGCTTGGTGATGGGGTACTGCACGGAGCCATCACTGAGCCAACCCGCATTACACCAGTCCAGCCCTGACCTCCAGGCATCGTAAAGCTGGTCAAAGGAGGCGATAACAGAGTCTTGGTCCAGGCACGCTAGCTGAGCCTCATGGAAGTTTAAGTTGTAACGACCCAGCCGTGGAGAGTAAGGGAATACAACGCCTGAAGTGATAAAAAAGGGGTGAAACAGCATTTACGGTCACTGGAGTCTGAGAGTACTTAAAGATAGGCAGAGCTCGTTGAAACTTTGCAGCTACAGGTTTTTCACTAGGAAATGCCAGTTTACAGCTGTAAGATCAATTTCTCATTAAAAAAAAAAAAAAAGTGATTAAAATTCAGCCTAGTTCTATTCTTTGTGGAGTGGGATTTGGTGGTCCTCTAGCAGTCATTTAGAAAGAAGAAACTGTAGCACATGACAGTTGGTTTTTTGTTTGCTTGTTTTTGTTTTATGTCACATTATGCTAGTAACAAAAAGGTATTTCATGCATTTTTTAATAACAACATTTCAAGGATACACTGGTAGGAGGCATAATTTTAGTGTCCTGAGGCCTTAAAGTAGGAAGTGTATAGGTAAATAAAATCAGTGAAGCTGTATATGGTTCATCATCACTCAAGCAGGGAGAGCTCCTCATAGAGGGCATTAGGGAGCATAGTTCCTTGAGCAGAAGACACTTGCAGATAGTGAGTCATGTAGCACACAGCATGCAGCATGCAGCAAAGACAGCCCTAGTAGGAAGCCATATGGGACACCACCTGTCCTCACTGCCAAAAGCACTGTTGGCTTAAGCAAAGGACACTTGCTGGATAGCTACTGTGCAAGGAGTATGGCCCTTACATGCTTCCTCCCACCCCTGAGGACCAGCCACAGGCAAGGCCAAAGCCCCTTTTGTTGCTCATCAGTGGTGAACCATTGCAGACAGATGTGGCAGAGAGATTTTCTCTGAGATGTCCTCTCAAGAGAGAGGACATCCAGATGGAGATGGAAAATCTGGGGACACATCTGGAATTGTTTCAGCAGCAACACTGAATCAAAGTCATTGCTCTTCTCTCACATATTTTTCCACAGTATACTTTCTGCTTGCTTTATGAAGATCAGTAGTGAAAGATCACTTGAAAATGCTGAAGAACCACCTCCCCATCTGGGTTCTGATAGAAGAGAGAAACTGAAAATAAAAGTTTAGATAAGACCACCCTGATATTTGGCAGGGTTTAGAAATATAACCCAGATCTAAATTTTACATTTGGCTTTAGCCCAGTCTCATAATAAACTGAAATAAAACAGCATCAGAGAAAATCAATCTCAGAATGCTTATTCTCAAGCATCTCTGTGGAATTAAGTGCTGTAGGACGCAGAGGGACTGAAGATAAAATAACACATGAGATTAGTCAAAAACTGCACTGATATAAATATTGACCTTTCTTTTTACTTTTTCCCTGCTGTTGAATTCTCACACCTGTGACAAGTTCCTTGCCTTCAGGGCAATGTAGCATAGGAGACAGATACTACATTATGGTCATGCAAGACTGCTGCCATGCAATTAAGCCATTCTTCTTTCCAAATATTTAAACCCATTTCAGGGTCTATGCCACCGTTATCTTAAAATCTCCTTTCCTTCCCTTTTCTCCCTCACCTGTCTATTGTCCAAGAAGTGCTATTTTTGTTAAACAAAATTTTTGTTAAACAACGTTTTTGTTATTACTGATCCTTGGTAACTTGGTCCAGGAAAATAAAGCATATAAATGTAAACTTGGCAGGGTAATAATAAACAGTATTTTGCTCTCCTTTGGCAATTAACTAGAGTGTCTGCTGAGGATCTTTCCTGTTGTAAATCCTTTGTTCAAGGGCTTTTTAAGTTATTAGCTGTTCTAAATTATAAAACATGAATGCAATATAATACAATATGTGCTGTTAACTGTAATTCATAAAGAAGCTGTAATGTTTCATATTTTTCTGAATTCCTGTTTTTCCTTCCTCCTCCTCATCTCTTTAATAAAAAATTATTTATCCCCCCTCAGTGATACTGGAAACAAATATCACTGGCCATACTAAATGTGTAGCAAATGTCAGAGGGGCCTAAGCATTATTACTTTATTAGAAATCCATTGCTTATTATTTTTCCAGAACCACTTCCCCTGAGCCGACTCCTTGTCCAGTACATGTGTCTGATTTGCATACACGTGGAAAAAAAATACGAAAATCATCAGAGGAGTATTTTTTAGCAAGACCTAAATTTGTGTACTTTTAAAAACTCAGCAAAAATTAATTGGAAATGATTCAAAGAAATTTGAGTCCCTAAGGTTTCCACAATAGCTTTTTAAAAGGAGCTAAATACGCATGAAAATTTGTTACAAATCTATTTGAATTTCACACTTTGGGACATAATGTTTAATAACATATATATGCACACAGCTGTAATATTAGCTTTCGGTTATTTTGGGGTAGGCTGCATGGAAGCTGATTTTTGTTTGAGTTCATCTGCAGTACAAGCCTGCAACTAATTAGCATTAATTTCACCCTACAGATGGGGGTGGCCATTGGTGATTCTATGGAGAAAATTGACTGGGTATGTGTTTTGTGTAGCCTTGTATTACCTTTCCTCTTTGTTAATTTATTTTTTTTCTTAATTTCCCTATCAAGTCTATCTGAAATTCATAGTTAGATCTTACTATTGATCTTCCTTTTGTTACAATTTAGCAGTGCTGAACTTTAGTTAATTGCAAAGCATCTTCTTCAGTCTTGGATCTTATAACCCATCAAAAGATAATCCATCCCATCTGGTTTTGAATGGGCAAAAGCTGCCCTGAAGCTTGTTACTATTCCTGACCTACCAACTGAACCTAAACTCTTGAATCCAACCTTTACCAATTCCAGACAAAACACTCTTTTCCAAACATTAGCAAATTCAGCATAAAAAATAGAGAAAGATGAAAATTCCCAGCCTCAGGTGGTTAGAAACAAATTAGTTTGTGGGAAGACTGGGCTGAGGAGTCTCAACCTGACCTTCGTCATTCAGTTCCCTCCCCTAAGGAAGCAGCTAAGCCACCTGTGGAGCTTGAATAGGAAAAATTAATTTACCATATAGACTTCTCGGTGTGGCTAATCTCCCAAACACACAGTTCTCTGATACAGGTCCTGCCCCTGGGGAAGGACCTCCTTTCCTCCCAGCAAGAGAGGAAGAACCTGAGACACATCAATTCAGTGGCAAATAAATCTGTTAGTGAAAGAGGAAGGCTAGATGAGGTTTGCTGCATGCATCTGTGACAATGCAATCACAGTCTAGAAAATTACTTTTGTAATGGAAATTAGGATTTCTACCAATTAAGAGCATAAGAGCTGGATGGATAACATATCCTCCTCATCCACACACCTTTACTTCCATACGCCTTACATTCAATTCCACAAACATACAGCTTTGCTTCAGTCACTGTGTTTTTAGGGAACACAAAAGAGATTATATTTGTGTGTCTTCTGTAAGCTATTTCAGCTCTTTATGCAGGTAATCCCTGCAATTCAGTGTAAGGTCTTTGCAATTACTCAGTAGCTACAGACACATTGTCAGTGCAACAAGCTGTAACAGTTACCCAAGACAACCAATGTGAGGAAATAAGCTTAGAAAGCCCAGCTACTGTAGCAATTTATGGGTGTCTATTAAGCCAGCACCATACAAAATTAGCAGTTTTAACAGTATTTACACCTTGAACAAAATAACACAAATTTCTGTTGACACACATGGGTAAAAAAAGGGGGGGGGGGGGGGAGGGGGGGAAAATTTTCATTTTTAGCCAGGGTAAAGAAATGAGCTTCCTGGAGTTCTAGCCCAAACAGAAAAGTACGTTTTCTTGTAGCCAGTGTAAACACAGGGTAACAGTAGGGCTTGGTATATGCTATACTGTAGGCTACAGTTTTATGCTGGCAGGTTCATACACTTGCTGGCAAAACTTTCCATGCTGGGCCTCTGAAATTCTGTTAAAAGTGGTAAATCTCTCATTTTCCTTGAGACTCCATCGCCATTACTCTCTTTGCCAGGACTGACCATGCACCCACAGGGTAGGCCACTGGATGTTAGCAGGTATCAGTCTCCCCGAAAACAAAACTGAAGCTTGAGATAGTGTCCCTCCAGCCTGCACCATTCCACAACCAGACTGTCAGTGTGGCTGTTTATTTCTGACAAGCACAGGCGTAAGAACGAGACTCACACTGCACTGGGGGCAGACGGTTAACTTATGTTTACAGCCTTTATCAAAATTGAAAACTATCTTTTCTTGCTCTCTTTAGGGTAACTAGTACTAATTCTTTTAGCATAATTTCCATAATTTCCATAATCATAATTTCCAGGTCATTTTTTTGTTCCTGTTGTTTTGAACGTTTTACTTCACCTGAATCTTTCAGGTATCATTTCTCACAGCATTTGCAAACACATTTGTGACTGCAAAGACCTTTTACCCTTTCATAGCAGGAATTACATTGCTCTGTCATTACTTACTCCCGAAAAACTCCTGTTGTCTGTCACAAGACTTTCTATGGACTTCTAGGGACCCACAAATGCTTTTTCATTATCCTATAAAATCAGTTTTATAGTAGACAGTACAACACATTGTCATGCAAAGGATATTTAAAATGGCTTTTTGTGTATGAATGTAATGGAAATACACAGGCAAAACAAATATGAGCTAACAATATCAGGCTGAATCTTATTTCTCCAGCTGTTGAGACCATACAGTTGGTTTCAGCTGGTTGGTTTCAACCAATTCATGCTGGTTTCAGCCACAAACTCCCATTTCTTATGTCCAGCCTAAGGCAAATGACTAGATTAGAAAATGATCGCTGCAATAATTTGGAAGAGTTTGCTTATATGAAGCTTGCAGATTTGTTTGATCTATTTTGAACTACAAAGTCTGTTTTTGAAAGAGGTGCCTGTTCTTTTTCTAACTCTATCTTGGACATAAAAGCTAACATACCTCTAAGTGAGATCATAAAACTTGATGAGATTTTCAGTTCATGTGGAGCTGCTCAAAGAGTTGGCTTCTGTCTAGGAGCAGCTTTCTACAGAGATTTTTAGTGGCTTTATCTAGACCTGCATATTCCTAGTACTACAAAAAGTAATTATTTTGTAGCCAGTATTGCAAAACTTGTGTGTTCAGTTATAGTCTCTCCCTGAAGACTGAAACTATTACAAAAAATTCTAATAGAGTAAAAATCTGCTTTGGGCAGTTTAGCCTCATTCCATTTTCTTTGCCCATGAATCTGATGAAGGAATAGTACACAAAATCTGTGCCTGAGCAGCATACCCGAGCTGAAACCTTTACATGCTGGGAAGCTGAAGTACACAGACCTGATCTAGTGAGATCTATTACAGTGCCTAGTATTCATGAGAAAGAAAAATAGTAAAGCACTAACATAAAGAAAATTCAGTATAAGCTGACAATTCTTTCTTTGCTTCTGACTCAGGCAACAATATCTATCTGCCTTATGAGGCCTTTAATTAGTTAAGGTTTTGACTTTCAGAACATTTGACAGAGTGTAAAACTTATGATCCATATGTTATATGCAGGAGGAGATTAAGGCCAGTTCAGTAAGAAAATGGTTTTGTGACAAAGATATCATAAAAAGTGTCCTGATCTATGCAGTAAGTACACTGTTTGCAGCCACCATGCCCAGCAAAACCTTACAGCCCTTAGACTTCGTACTTGAGCTGGCTAACAGGATGGTAATCGTGGCATGATCAAATGGTTCTTCAAGCTGGTGGCTGCAAAATACTGCACTGAATCCTACTCCTGAGCTGTAGCTACTAGACACCACTATCTCATTAGTGTAGGGGGGAAATGGTGCGACTCTGCATTGAATTGACTGATGCCTTGGCTTCATGAGCAAAGATTTGGGAAGGGCTTTAACCATGCTTACCACAAGCATGATGACCATGGGCAAACGGGATATGCAAATCTGGTTAGACCATCGTGAGACAGGTTAGTTTTACCCTACTGATGATGTGTTGTTGCAACAGTAATCCTGCTCAGTACGAGAGGAACCGCAGGTTCAGACCCCTGGTGCATGTGCTTGGTTGAGGAGCCACTGGCACGAGGCTACCATCTGCGGGCTTGTGACTCTAAGTCAGAATCCTGCCTAGACACTTGATGTTGTGCTGTATTGAATAATAGTGAAGAAAACATATAAAAAACATGTAAGGTATGCAATAAACAGACTGAATCTAATTCCTCTGTTTTTTCAAAGCTAAAAGTATGCAATTACTATGAACAGTTTATTGAATGACGATCTCAGGAAGTATTTGAGTCTAATAAGAATAAACCACTCCCACATTTGAATAAGAAAAAAGGTCTACTGAGGTAGAAGTCAATTATTTTCTGATTGATATATTAACATGCTTTCACCTAGCCAAATCTATACTGTTTGTACAGTGAGCTTACATCGGTGTCATCAGCTGTTTTGCACTGCTAATTCCTGGGTATAAGTGGGTATAAATGGGTATAAATGGTTTTGTCTTGCTGCCAATTAACATCCTTAGGGCCACCATCTCAGGACATCAGGCTATAGATGCAAACCCTTCCCACTGTGAGATTAACCTTATTGTTTATAACAGATATAGAATGTTGGAATGGGCTGATATATTTTTACTTATTTCCACAGATGATCTTTTTTTCTTCTTGGTTTATTCTTCATTGCTCAAATACATGAAACAGTAAAGCCAGCACTACATAAAGCTGCAGATGAGATGAAAAAATAAGCACAGAGGCATGCAAATATAGGAAAATACCCTATCAGCTATTAATGTCCATTGTAAATATAAGTGCATTCTAATCATTATCCCTTCAGAAGGAAACTTCGTTGTAGCTTAGACCCAGAATCACTGGATTTAATTGTCAAAAGCAGGTTTGACACTCACACACTCACTAATCTTATCTGATGGTTACATTTTACAGTGAGGCTTTGCAAATTACATTTTCCTGTCAGTTTAGGATACATCACCCTATAGCATCAGAAATTAACAGTCTCACACCTGCCCCATATCTGACAGAAGTAATTAAAAAGAAATTGTTTCTTATGTTAGCCAGACAGTAGTTCAAATGTACAAACTTTCTGTTGAGGAGAGATCAGAACATGGTTGAAAAAATATGGTTCCTCCTATCCTTATGAATTTCCTGATATTGGAGGTGGGGTAAAACAGGAAAAAATGGTGCTTTTGGACAGGATGGGCTGGAGTTGATATACACTGTTTAGTCACAGCAGTAAGCTAGAGAGGATATTGTGTACCACGAAGTGGTAACCAGACCTTGTATCCAATGGTCCGGTTCTGTATCACAAAACAGTCACAGTAAAAAGGTAGAAAATCTCACTTTTTTCAGTTGTCTTCCTGTCTGCAGTACAGGAAAGATTTCTCACTGCTTTTATACTCTAGTATTAATCAAATATTGTCTTTCAAATGTGGATCTCTGCATGTACCAAGCTTCAGGCAAAACTTCCCAATCTGCCACTAGAGCCATCAGCATCTCTCCTTCCCCAGGAAATCCTGGCACAGCAGGAAGCATTTGTGCTGGAACCTCCTTGCTTTTAAGAGCAGAAAGCTAATCAACTTTTGCTTCAGTGGCACAATGCTAAGTGGCACAGATGAGTATCTGATTGGATGTGTGGTGTGATGAAGAATTTAAAGATTTTACACTGACTCTGACCTTTTTACATTGAGAAAATACCATAATGCTGTAAAACACAGGGAAATCTCAGTGTCTGATAGAGTTATGCAGTTATTTATCTGAATACGTTGAAGACTGACAGAGGTATGTACTTAGGATGAAACAAGACTGACAGAAGAATATTATCAAGTTACAGAGCATCCTTGAAGCCCAGAGGAGAGTTGCAGGACTGCCTGCATGACAGCGTGAAAGGAGAAGAGATGTGCTATGGTCAAAACAGCTAAAACAGATGCTGCATTTTTTTTTTTACCTGGCACTTACTATTCCTCAGGTGCAGCAAATAGCTGTACTCACCACATCTATATTTATATCCTTATTGTCTGTAAAACATCCTGTGAGGTGGAACACTCTGGGGCTATCCACCTCTTAATTCATGTCCCAGACACAGGGCCCATACCTGCAGCCTGGGCAACCCAGCAGAGCTTTGCTTTCACTTAAGGAAGCTGAACATTCCAAGCAGAAACTTCTTTCACTGCAGTGGCTCATCTCAATAACAGCATCTGCAAAAAGCAACCACTGCATTGCGTGCCTGAGTGAAGAGAAAACTGAACACATGAGAGCCCTTGGCTAGCAGGGAAGAATAAATTAAAATGCTTTTTCCTCCTACTTATTTCTGTTTTCACTCAAAACTGTTTTAGACAAGTTAAACGGGACATGTGTATGCTCAATTTTATACTGTAAGTGTGCAAAGATCAGCATGCATTCTTATTAAAGATGAATTATGTGAGGTGAAACAACTTAAATCAACTATCCTCCTGGCTTAGAAACTGTTGCAGTGCCTTTCTGCATTCAGAAACTGAAGGTTTCAGCAGCCTCCAACCAGGAATGGAAGAATAGACGAAAAGGAATAAGCTAAGCCCATGACATCTGTTTGGTTCAAGAACCACCCAGTCTTATTGTGCAGGTTAACTATAAAACCATCACAATATACAATAACTCTCAATGAAAGAGTCATATATTTCACTTGTTTAATGGTTTGAGAACCAGAGGTTTGATTTTCTTCTTTCGTATTTTTTGTTCCTAATTACTTACCACAGATAAAGTGATTTCTATCAAGTTCTCTCTGACACACACCTGCTGGTAAGTATAAGGGTAAGGGAGACAGCTTCACACAACTTTTAGTTTACTGCTGAGTTCTGTACAGTGCTTTGGGAAAAAGGCCAAATGTTAGTTTACATGCATTCTACCTCACAAAAATTATCTGAATTTCTTAAGAATAAATGAAAGCTGAGTATTTGGTTCTCTTTAAACCTGTTTCACTAATTTTTATAATGTTTTGTAGTCTACTGTTTTGAAGAATATTTCTGAGAGAAATGACTACAGACTACATGTAGGAGTTGTCTTGGCAGGCAATACTGAGCTCTACTTTATGCAATTATAAGGCTGGAAAAAATGAAACTGTTGTCTCTGGAAAACTACTTTAACATTTTTCCTCTTTTTAAGAAGATTTGTATTGCTTGGTAATCCAAAATGTCCCAAAGTACTGTAAAATGGCTGTTAGGGGAATATTTAACATAATTTTGTCTAAGTTTACTGTAAAAATATGCAATGACTTTTGTAAAGTGATAGGAGGGCATTAAAAATATGTGGAATCCTTTGTACTATGTTTGATCATTTTTTTTTTCCTCCCTGCACACCAAGTCTCACTGGAAACAGAATATGCCATAGGCTAGCATAAGTTATAGAAGTCCTAATATTCTTCTAATTTATGATTGTTGTCATGAGGTGTCAGGCAAAAATCCCCAAAGCACAATGAATCCCAGTTCTCAGCTTGCTGTTACCAGTGTTAATACAATATCAGCAGTATTAGGAGAAAAAGGCAGGTATTCATAAACATTGAGAAATCCGAATTCAAGTATGATTCAGATGTTACCTACCTTCCAGATTCAGAGCTACCACTGCTGTGTCATCTTCTAATCCTTCAATCACCTCGCACTTATATCTCCCGTAATCCTCCAGTATTATATTTGTAATTATAAGAGAGGCATCATTCTCACTGCTTTCCCTCAGCAACACTCTGCCCTGGTAATTTCCGTAGCTCTTTCTGTGGTGTCCCATTGCAACAAAGACATCCACTTCTTTGAGGTAATCTGAGGTGAGTTTGGTCCACTTGATTCGGATCTTGTGGGTTCCTGAGCCAGCTGTTGATGTATGTTCATGGTAAAATTTACATGGCAGTGTGACATTGCCACCCCGCTGGGAGAAGATTTTAGCTTGCTCTGCTACCACAAGTAGACGGGGTCCATTTTCTGCTAGGAATCATGGAGAAAACAAAACCAAGTTAGTTTACAATCTACCTCTCACAGAATGTAAATGGTCAATGCCATAGCAGCAACCAGCTATATTATACATTAGGTCTGCAGCATCATTTTATTGCAATCATTTTGTACCTATGCAGTAGTAGGGTATATAAACCAGTTCTATATAATTATTTACTTTGCTGTAAGTATGTCTGTGTGTGTATACTCCCAGAGAGGCAGAACGGCAAACTGGTTTGCAGGAATGCCCCCTCATATAGGCAGAGACCATCCTATTCACTCCGCAGTCATGAAGAGAAAGTTGTATAAATGTATTATTTCTGGGGTTTCTTTGACAGACTGTGCTGCCCTGGGAAAATCCTGGAAAATACATATTCCACAGTGGCAGTCAACAGAGGTATACAAAACTGAGAATGCTTCCTTCTTTCTGTACATCTTGCCTGTGTTTTGCAAACTTGATTTAGCAAGCTCAGCGTTTCTGTAGATATTGCTGTACTTTATCACTAAGACACTGACCAAAGCTAGTAATGCATTACCAGCACTTTGCTAACTGGGAAGAGCTACTGACCTCACTCTATATAACAGATTGCAAAGAAAGACTTTGTCATTCACTATGTGTGTTCAGAAAGCCAATGCAACTGCCCAGAAATGTGATTCCTAACTTCAAGGCTTAGTCTGAATCATAGCATCACAGACCGGTTTGAGTTGGAAGGGACCTTAAAGCTCATCCAGTTCCAGCCACCTGCCATGGGCAGGTACACCTCCCACTGGATCAGGTTGCCCCAAGCCCCATCCAAACTGGCCTTGAACATTGAGGAATGGAGCAGCCACAGCTTCTCTGGGCAACCTGTGCCAGGGCCTCACCACCCTCACAGGGAAGAACTTCTGCCTAAGAGCACATCTCAGTCTCCCTTCTGTCAGGTTAAAGCCATTCCGCCTTGTCCTGTCCCTACAGGCCCTTGCCCAAAGCCCTTCTCCAGGTTTCTTGTAACCCCTTAGGTACTGGCAGCTTTTCTAAGGTCTCCCCTCAAGGAGCCTTCTCTTGTCCAGGCTGAGCCAGCCCAGCTCTCTCAGCCTGTCTCCATAGCAGAGCTGCTCCAGCCCTCACAGCATCTCCATGGCCTCCTCTACACATGCTCAAGTAGTCTTTCTCTCTCTAATTTGAGCAAAAGCCAAAGCTAAGCTCCTGAGTGCAGAAGCCGCTGAGAAGCTGGCCCTATGCTGCAGGGAGGCATCAGAATCTGTAGCTCAGCAGTGTCTCCAGACAGTCCTGGGCTTCTGAGTCTTGTTGACAGGTCTGCTGACTAAATGATATATAAATCTAAACTGTAATTTCAGCCTACCTTCATTACTTGTCCATGCTGAGTACAGTAAGCAGCAGAACACCAGGGTATGGAGCATTTTATGATTATGCAAAAAGTTCAGGGCTGGTAATTGCAAAGACAAACTTGAGTGCAAATGTGCATCTGCTTAAAAAAAAAACAGGTATCCCAAATGTGTAGTTCTTTGTCTGGAGATGGTGTTGCTATTACCTGCACAGGACACACTAGTCAGGGCACCAGATTTCTCAAGAAGGAACAAGGTTGAGTGCCGCAAGTTGTTTTACCAGAATAAGAGAACTCCCTACCGAGTGAAAAATCATTACTGCAGAGCAGATCATCCACAGCTCCATAAAACTGGTTTTCTTTTTTACTGCCCTTCTTCCCTGGAGTGAGTAGCCCTGGGAGGGTTACTGCAATAACTCATCTTTCCCCTTTCAGAGGAGAGCATCCAAGGACAGAGGTGATCTGAGGCAAGGCACCATGGAAAGTGTTGCTAACTCTGTTTCCACAGGATGAGGAGAAGGAAGAAAGTAAAGGCAGCCAGAATGGTTTGTTGGTTAATTTCCCTGCTTCCTTCAGAGACAAAGATGTTCCACAGACTTCTGTCCACCTTGGGAGGAGGAATGTTATGTTTTAGGGCAGTTATTACCAACAAATCTGAATCAGAGCTCAACTATATTGGGTCTTTAATACTGAAATAGTCAATAAATATTAGCAGAAAAGACTGGGGCAGAAGGGAGAGTCTGACTCAGGCTGCTAACACTTGCTCTTTCTAACAACAGCAAGTCTGTGCCAGCAAGATCTGGAGAGTTGCCCAGAGCACTGTCATCTCTGATTTCAGTATTACCATCTTAATGCAGTGGCGTACCTCTCTCCTGGCTGCTTCCCACCTCCTCTGGCCCTTTGCAGCAGCCATTACCTGAGTTTATATCTCATTAAGAGTAAAGAACAGAGAGGATGGGAACCAGGGAAAGGAAAGCATGGCTTTTCTCAGCCTGTACCATCTCTGTTGTCCGTGGAGTCTCAAAGGGAGATTCAATGCTTGAAACATGCCTCCACCCTCAAGTTCTTTTCTACAGAAAAAAAGACGATCAGGCCTTCTCTCTGTTCACACAGCAGGGAAGAAAATTATATTGATGCTGCTCCCAGACCTAGGAGAGGAGGAAGAAAGAATCTCTGGCTTTCAAGGAAAAGCATATATCAGGTTGGGGGATGCTGCAGTTTCTTTTTGGGCTTGAAGACATGCAGAAGACATGGAGGCAGCAGGGATTTGGAATTAAAAATAAGATGACTGGGGTTTGGCAAGAGGCCAAAAGGTCTTTATTATCCAGAGGCCAGTGAGAATCAGGGCCAAATTCACATATTTTTGGGAGTACGACAAAATGAATGGTCTTGGTCTTTCTGGAGTTGACAGAAGAGGAGTTAAAACCCATAAAACAAAAAAGAAATGTCCAAACACACAGCAACCCAGAATCCCTTCATTTATAATATGTTTAGCACTCTGGATGCAGCATTCCAACTTACTGCTGTGAAAATCAGCTTAAATGAGGAATAAATCCTGCTTCCTCGGTTACCTTAATACAACAAGCTGGTGAGAACTGGTGATCTGATCATGGAAGATGAGGTCAACACTATTTTACAGGCTTGTCAGATCTGGCTGCTTCCCATATAGGGCTCCTGATAAGACTGCTCATTTTGGATAAAATTATCTTTGCATCTAAATAGCAGGAATATCTAAAAGATGAGTGCAAGAAAGAAAAAGATGGGACACAGGAGTGTTACCACAAAGTCCTACATGTTACTTGAAAAAGAGTAATTTTTTTTCCCCAAGAACTACTTTAGAAGCAACACCGTAGAATTTGTAAGGGGAATGGCCAAGCCACTGTAAACTCTGCAAACACCAGATAATCCTTCACTAATCATTTGTCTGCAACCGGACAGTTTGGATCCTTGCTGGAGACAAGGCAAACCTCATGCATTGCCACTCAAGAGCCTCAGACAGTGGACTGATGGTGAGGAACGTGCTGGGCAGCCTCCAGCTGCTCCTTCTGTTAGGAACAGAGATGGCAACAGCCTGGTTATCGGTTCTGGTCTCAGCTCTAAGGCCAGAAAGAATGAGAGGCCTTGAGAATGTTTTGCTAGGTGGGGTTTTCACCATTGCAGACATATTTTGCCTTGTAAAACAGCTTAGCTGTTAGTACAGAACCAGGCACCACTGGAGAGTAATTTGCCACATTTTTTTTACTCCTGCTTCCCTAATATCACTTCTGACAGACTGTAGCCTTCTGTGAATCCTCTTGGTGCAGTTAGATGGATGACAAAGGCAACATAATGCAAAAAAATCTAAGCTAGCTAAAAATGAGTTTGCCCAAGTTGCAGAAACTGACAAGCCGCACCAGATAACACACGAAACTCTTCAGGTCATCTTTTCTGTATCTTACTGGTGCTAATTTAAGCATGCATATACTGCAGGCAAAAGGCTATCTTGCTACCTTAAGCAATAAGCACAGGCAGCAGCACAATACGCCCTCTGTTTTATTTTTCACCTCACTGAATACTATGCAATTAGCACTGCTGTTCTGGTTGTCATTACTTTGTACACATCTAACCTTGACTTCAGTGTGATACCGATTTCAAGGACAGTAAGTGGACTTGCTCCCTCCTATGCTGTTAGAGCTGTCAATTCAGTCTCACCTGGCTGGCTTATTGGTTTAGTTCCAAATCTTCCTTCTGTACACTCACTTAGATCTGTTTGCCCTTTATGTTGGTTGTCTTTGCTGTGGTGTTTTCTTTTTGTTTCCTTTTTGGTTTGGATTGGACTTTTTTATCTCTCTTTCTTAATTGGCTTTCATACTCAAGACCAATGGCAAGCCATTTGGAAGGCCAGGAACATAATGTGGGTCAGAGAGGATGTGTATTACTCAGAGAACCCAAAGGAAGGATGACATTTTTCAAATACTTTTCCTACTACATGTTTTCTATGTTTTAACTTACTACATTTTTTCTATGTTTTAACTAACTACATTTTTACTTCTGCTTTTAGAAAAAAAAAAATCTAAAAATTTATATCATTTATAAGACTAGTGAAACCTGTTTTAATTTGTCTCAAGCATTTATGTAATTTTGTTTATGTCATGAGAAAGCAAATACAAGCGTCTGCCTCCTGTGTTTCTGCCTCTAAACTGACAGGTTAAAATAATCTACACATTACTTTTAAGTTTTGACATACAACTGGTAAGAGAGATGCTGGATAAATTTTAGCAAAAAACATTCAGGTTCATTGCTCCAAATAATAATGCAGCTAAAAATACCCATTTTATAAATGGCAGAGAACAAGTCTGTCTCTCCAACATAGAGATGATAAGACTGAGGTAAAATGTTTTCCAGCTGATGTCATCTACTCAACCTAAGTTACACATTGAGGGGAATTGTTAAAGTGGCAATATTATCTCAAGTTTAGGTTTCTAGGAGACCTTTTCTTCTTTCTTATGGAGTACATAAAACCATCAGGGAAATAAAAAACTTCAGCTCTTCTGAAATATTGTCACCTTTTGCCTTAAATAAACTTGAAGAATATGTTTATTTCAGCATGAAGAAAGTGCATGAAGATCGGGCCTCATAGAGCAAAATAGAACAGAATCATGACACTGTCTCTGCACCTTTTCTGCAGAG